AAATTCTGAGCACTCAAATGATAATAGTGATAAAGAAAATGAAGAATAAAGGACACAAGAATTTAGCCAGGTTCACCTCAAAAAAGTTTAATCTTGTCTAAGCCCTCAAGGATGATTTCACCTTCAACAAGGACTTAATCCACTATAACCAAATTGGTTACAAATGCATGGGCAACAGCCAGTGACTACCACACAATGACACATTCAGAAATCCAACTAGGTATAACATTCATTGACCCAATAGAATCAGGTCCCTCAAGATCATCTACTAGGATTTCACAATGACCAACAACCATTGTCATCTTGAGATCAGACCTTCACTCAGTCACTCAGGGAACCTTCAATGATATGTTCAGTGATTTGATTTAATGAATATAACAATCATTGACCCAATAGAATCAGATCCCTCAAGATCATATATTAGGATTTCCTACAATGACCAACAACCATTGTCTTCTTGAGATCATACCTTCACTCAGTCTCTAAAGGAATCAATCAACAACAATTGATAAGGTTCTTGTGTTTACACGATTGCTTCTTCTAAGCAGATTACATAAGTGTTTTAAGCACACATTATTTAATGCATTTTCGGGCAACAACTCTAGTGTTAAAACAATTTACATGAAGAGATTCAAACTGAAACACAATATGAGAAACAACTATTGTGTTCATTACAATTTTCTATCAAGATGTATATGATCAGAAGTTAAATAACATCTTGTAGTGCTTTTCTTCTTCATCTTCTTATTGAGAAAGTTACGAGCAATAACTCCTTGCTTCTTTTGAGATCTACCAAGATGTATTTGATCAGAAGTTGAATAACATCTTGTAGACTTCTTCTTTATCTTTCTTTATTTTCTCTCATTTTAGTATAGTGGTCTTCATAATATTTAGCATTACATCTTTTACATCTTCAGCATCCACTAAGTTTAAGCTTGATGGCCAACGACACTTTAGCTTTGAATCTTTTATCTTCTTTATGTACCTTTTGTACACCATCACACGTTAATCGTTTTGAACTTCTTCTTATCTTCAGAGGCTTCAGATAATTTGAATGTTTAAGTTTTCTGTAGAAGAATCACTCTTTAAGTCTTAAAACCTAAGTCTTGGAGTCTTTGAAACTTGTTCTATCAGAACCTTGTCTTTGAAGTCTTCAGCACTTGGTCGTAAGAACTTGCTTTCCTTCAGATCATCATAACTTGTTCAGCAGAACCTCTAAATCTTAACCATAAAGTCACGATTAGAACCTCTTGTACTAACATTCCTAAGACACGTTGTAGAAGACATATTTAGAATCTTGGCTTCAACTGTAACATGTAACCACATGTTTTCTTCCAGTAGTGTATGTTTAAAACCTGATGATGTCACACGCCTTGATACCAGAGTCAGAACATTAAAGCAACAACTACATACTAGAAAAAACCATTAGAGTATACAATTGTTCTTAAAGATAACATGTAAAGTTATCATCAAAATCTTAAGGCCAGATGTAGAAACACTTCTTGTTCTTACAAGGGGCACTAGTTGTCCTATTTTTTTATCCTCCTCGTCACTAATCGAATTTGGGGAAGAACGTTTTATTGGTATATAAGTGATGTTGTATATCTTAGCTTTCAACTCTTTCATGAAAATTAAATGCGTGATTAGGCGAGGTCACCGTCCTTAAACTCACTACTCTCTTGGTATAAGTGTTTATCTTAGATTTTGGTAAACAACCACTAGTCTTCCAAAAATGATACTTTGGTTACTCACACGATCGACTAGATTGATCCTAGAACATATGTGCTTAGTTTTGTTATGTTTTCTTGACGATTAATACTTCGACCATACTAAAATCTTAAAAGTGACAATAATCCAAAGATAGTTTGTAAAAAGTGCAAGAATGTAAAGTGTGAAGAATGTAAAGTGTTTTGACAGAATCATAAATGGAATTAAAATGGCATTGAGAGTAAATGATTTAACAATGTGTGTAAATAGGTGATTCATACATACATGTTGTTACTTAAAAAGCTCTTTTCTCAAACACACTTAGATACTTTGAGTGATTTTGAGTTTGGTACAATTGAACACATGAAATCCTAATTCTAAGACCTCTATTTATACTACTTATATGGTAATTATCACGAACGGTCTTTTCTACAGAAAATGACACGTTCTCGCTTGCATGGCTTCTCCTTCACATGCTTCCACGCATCTTTATTAAGGGAAGAATAAGGCCAAATTATATTTATCAGCCTTATCTCAAATTATCTTTGTCGACCTCACTTACAAATGAAGTCCAAAAAACCTTTAAAGTCCCTGTGTAGTACCATTTCGTAAGTCTGGGACTTTTCCGACAAACACCTGTCGAAGTCTTTATCTGACTCCTAGTTTAAATCACTGTCTATATTACATATTTTCTTCAGCTTTATTTGATACTTTATATCTTCCTGAATTTCAAAATTACAACTAACAATAAACAGGTACAATAGTACATGTTATAAAATATGCTACTTTTGGGTATATGGTGGAGTCATACACGTGTGACTTGTTCCCCTAGAATGATAAGTAAAATCTTAGGACTCATTCCATCTACTCTAATCCAAAATAAAAAATAATTAAATTATAGTGCAAATATGTGGCCCCTCTAGTGATTGGGTCGTCGACGTTCGCTCTTATTTGGACTAGACCTTCTTAGAGTATTCTCACCCTCACTACCAAATGTATGATATGGTGTTATGAGAAACAAATTTCTTTCTTTCATTATCCAACTTTGAGAAATAAATTCTTCACTACTTAACTATGGCCGCCACAATTACATCCAACTACTGGGTGTTCATTCAGTCATTCCAAACATTATGTTGGTGTCTAGGAACCTAAGAATCAATTAAGTTTTTATTCTCTTATTTTCCATTTCAGTGTATTCTTCCAAGTATTTCTACATTTTGATCTCTTTCAAACAATTTCCTAAAACCTTCAAGGTTTTTCTAGAGTCGCTTAAGAATTTCAAATTAGGTTTATCATTGTACAACCCCTGATTGAAAGCGTTCGTTGTGCCATATATGGTGTTGATGTGGGTGTCACTGTTGGTGACAATTCTCTTATTTATGATCCATTAATAGACTCACAAACACCTATAGAAGGGAAATCAAGTTTGCTATTCATGAAATCATACTTTTTTAATCCCGAGAAGGAATGTGTACATATGATTAGGGGTTTTGTCAATGGTTTTGATATAACCCCATACGTTGACAAGAAAATAAAAGAATCTAAAGAGAAAGATCAATATATCGACATTCAATATTCAATTACAACTTGCAATAATTTGTTGATATCGTTGGTGTATTTTGTAATATCATCAAGTTATTAGTCTTGTATCTTTGTACTTTGCTAATTATACATTTCTTTACAGATCATATGTGTAATGATAAAAAGTGTAAATCTTATAAGAAAGTTAGGGTTTAACTATTGGCTAAGGTTGACCCTATGAAGGTCGATTCCTTCTAACCCAACCCTCTTACTAAGGTTAGAAGTCCTTCAATGGGGTATAAGATACTTTCCTAAAGGAGATCAGTCCTAATTAAGAAGATTTATTATTTTAGTGCTTTTGTTATATTGTCAGTCCTTCTACTCTGACCTCATATCCAATCCACTGAACTCCTCTTAGAAAGAAGAATCCCCATCTCGGGTCTGGCGGGAGTCATCATGTTGATGAGAAATGGAATGCATGTTTTGTCTCAATTTTTCCCTTTGTTCCCAAAAGAGCTCTTTGATTTAGTTGTAGACTATGACAGATGCTCATTAATAGAGATGGATCAATAGGGGGCCATAAGGCTCTAGCTAAATATATGTCTTATATGGAAAATATGATTACCCTAATCAGCTTAATGTTTATGGAGAATTGGGAATTTTGATCTAGGAAGTGAGTTATTGACCAAAGGTTGGTCTCTTGGCGCGAGATTCAAAGGCCACTAAGGATTATGCAGTGCATATTGCAAATGAGAGAGATACATCAAGGGGGGTGTTGTAACTCATTTTTAAATCAGAGTCTTCGCCCTTAATTTTTATCCTAAGGAAGGGAATATAAAGGATAACTCTAAAAGTTAGAGATTCTAGGTTTTTGGACTCAGTTCTAGACGAAGGGAAGGTGTTAGGTACCCCTCATCTACCTTGTTCACAAGGATACTAGGTTTAGAAGCGCAATTTTTAGGAAAAAAGGTTTTTATATTTTATTAGGGGAACTCGCCACGATTTTAATCGTATGCCTACATATCCTCTTAGGAAGAATAAGAGACCCATTTCGTAGTTTGCGGTTGGTTTGAGTTTTTTGTAGGATTATGCAGAATTGATTTTGAATTATCCTTGAACCTTGTCTGGGTTGTAAGTTGAGTGATCGTAGACGCAGTTCGCAGTTGATTTTGAAAGTAATTCTATTTAATTCTTTTTTTCAAAAATGTCTTGGGTTTTATTATGTTAGTAGAAAAATGGTTTGATAGTTGGTTAGCTATTTTAAGACGTAGAGCGGGAGAAGTCTGATATAGTCTCCTCAACACGTGGCCAGATATTGGTCACATGTCGCTCATTGGCGCATGGTTTTTTAATATTTGATTTTAAATAATACACTGATATACGATGTGTCGACTGATTTAATTACTCGAAGGTGGACATCCTATTATTTAGAATATTTTGAATTAATAAATATTAGAGGCTATTTTCAAATGTTAAACATTTTGAATTAAATAAGGGGAGATTAATAATATATAAGAATTTTCTTTTTAGTGTTTATAACTAATAAAGAACTAAATTAATTAATCTAAATTAATCTGACTTAATCAAATTAATTAAACTAATTTAATTAACCAAAATTAATTATCATAAACAATAAAACTATAACAATTGGGTTAGATATATATTGAGTTGAGAAATTGACGTCAAAGATTGGCCCAAGCCCACATATCAACCTTAAAAGTCTATAATGTAATGTAGCTAATAATTGTAAAAACAAATAAATGAAAAAAAACATGTACAGGGGCGGTACCCCTTATCCATACAATCAGCAGAATAAATCCCTCCCATTATTCTTCACTCTCATCTTTAAACAACCAATAAACATGTGACATCTGGCGGAGATTTATTGGAAGAAAAAAACCAACACTGCTCATATTAAAAGGTTAGAAGAGAGAATATGATCAGTATTGATAACTCTTCTTTCTTTTTCACTAGTTTTGCAAAAGAAAAATATATTCTTTCCTTCTTCAAAAACAATCAAACAAACCATATTGAAAAATTGTAAGTCAGATCTAACAACAAGACAAGAAACATTTGGACAAAAGAAGTGTACCAAAGAGGATTCGGTGTGGATGCTTGGAGTTACGATCGGAAGCATCGTCACGAGTTCATGGGCTGAATGGAGAAAGATCGAGAGGAGGTTCGTGTTGCTGTATTGGAGTGTATTCCGCAACTGAGATCAGCTGTTGGTGGGTGGTGTCGTTGTATTATTGACGGAGAGCTCCATCGGTTGCATGGAGATGAAGAGGAGCGTCGCCGGTTTTGCGGTGTGCAACCGAGATCGGTATGCGTCTGCCGGCAGTTTGTTCTGTACGCGGTGGAGGTTACCTGTGGCTGCTGTTGCATCGATTTTTCAACCCTCTTTTGCTTTTGAAATTTCTTCTTTATCTCCTCTTTGTTTATGATTTCTTGTTCTTTCTTTTTCCTGTAAAATAAAGAATTTGTATAAGTGTATATGTTGTGAGTTTTGCAAAGCCTACAGTTTGTGTATGAATTAAATATTTGACAATGATGATGTTTGTTAGGGATGAGATTAATAATAAGTTGTATGGCTATGCCTCTCAAAGCTTTTCCAATTTTCTGTTGATATTAAGATATTGCAAATATATTCATAGTAATCACTACATATTTGTAAGTAAGAAATGCAACATATTGTTCCTCAAAAACACAGTAGAAGCCATAAATAATTGTATTAACAAATCAATTCCATTGAAATTGCAAATTGGTAAAATTGAAGATTATAGAATAATTTTATTGTATTATAAGAGTAATATTGTTACACTATAAGGAAAGTGTAGTCAAAACAAATACCCGACCCACTAAGATTGTAGAGTATATATAAAAATAATTTGTAAAAATATTATCATCTCTATTATTATTTACAATTGTGTGTATGTATAAAAAAGGGACCATCGGGATCATGATGATCCGATTAAAATAACAAAAAATTGAAAAATTGAAAAATTAAAAACAAAAGGAAGGCCTCATATGAAATCATTGGTCATTTGTTGATTATTGTCTGATATAAACAACAACAGGGTTACAAGATGAACCCTAAAATAAAGCAAGAAGAAATGTAAGATTTCCTATATCTTGGTGAAACTATGGATTTGTGAGAATTTTGTGATTGTGGATGAAAAATTAGGACAAACTAAGGTCCTTGGTATACCCATAAATTTTCCCTCCCATTATTCAATACAAATTATTTCAATAGGTCTCCCCATGCTCCTAGGGTTCTCAATTGCTCAAGACTACTCAAGGATTGATCAGACAAACCCTCATCCTAAGCAGTTGACCTACAAATAGGATTTTGCTTCTCTCAAGGAAAATTGGAATTCTAATGTCTCAAGTGGATTTCATGGTTTCTCACATGTCCCAAAGAATCCTCATGCCAAATTCCAAGCCTTCCAGCACAAGTTTGCTCAGTCAATTAGTCAGATGATTGAAAATCAACTATATTGGGCAAAATGTCAACTTTGATCAATTTACAGTCAAACTTCAAGATTTTTGGTCAACATCAAAATTTTGAAGTCACATCCATCATTTGATCAAGGGCTGATCATGGTTCATCAAGAAAACTCAAGATTCATCAAAAGTCAAAAGTTACTAAATTAGGATTTTTTTTAAGGAGAAGTCAACTGAACTTTGACCAAGCATAACTTTCATATACTTCATCATAAATTTCTCAATCAAAGCTCATTTTGAAGGAAATTCAACTCTCTACAACTTTGTCTCTCTAAGCTCAATGCCAAAAATGCTCCATTTGAGAGATATGGGCCAAAATATTACATGTCATTTTAAAAGTCAACAAAAAGACACTTTTTGTCAAAGCAATTTATATCAAGATAAAGGCTGCAAATGAAAAAATGACCAACATGAAGATTGTATGGGATATCTTGAGCTTTCCAAAGAGTCCCAGATAACCTTCATATGATAAAAATTAAGTGAGATATGATTTGTGCAAGTTGGGCAATTTTAAGAAAATGCATGAAATCCAAATTAAGCAAATTTGAATTTTTGGGCTAATGGGCCTATCTTTTAAGGTCCAAATGTGTTCCTGACCTCATAATAGACTCCTAAATCCATTATTTTTATGGATTTTATTTCTTTTATTTTTTATTTTATTCAATTAAAATAAAAATAAATCAAATAAAATACCAAGTGAATGAATCAAGGAATGAAAATCTATTTTTGAATCAAATCATAAGTCTAAAAAGCTGGTGACAACTTGCAAAAAACGTGTAAAGATTAACTGGTACATCATTAGCCTAAAAAAGAAAGATTTCATGCAAAACTTCAATCAAAAATTTGATCATGAAATACAAAAGATTGATTCCACTTTTGTTGACATAAATCTTCCATTATAAATAAAGAACACATTCATACCAAGGGACATACGAAAATTACCTCAAAAACACCCTCTCAAAAAATCTCAATTTTTGTCAAAACTAGGGCAAAGTCAAAACCAAAGATCCTGCCACTTTCAGTCCAAGTCATCCATTGCAAATCATTCCTGAGGTATCTAAGGGTAATAATAGGTCGAAAGTCATGGCCATTGATGCTTGAAACAAGCATACTCATCTTCTCCGATTTTCTTTTCTTTTAAACATTCATATAATTAATTTCATGCATTGCTAATGTTTATTAACTGCCCAAATGAGTTCTTATTTTTACTTAGAACATGTTTGAATCATAAAACAGAAACTCTAATGTGAGAATCATGTTTTGCCATGGCTAGGGCAATTTGAGATGTCTTCTTCTAAACTCATGATACAAGTGTTTTTAGGCCAAACAAACACCACCATTGGATTCGCAAGGATCGAATTAGGGGGATAGGGTCCTTTTTATGGTCTAACACATGTTATTTTGTAGGTTTAAAAATCCTCTCACCGGAGAAGATGACTGGAACTAGGACTCTGGCGCTTCCCTGGTTCACTTGCTTTATTATATATTTGTTTGCTTAAATTTTAATAACAGAAATGAAGTGCAGCGCTGTTGGTTGAGACAGAGGCATGTAACGTGAATGGCGTGGGTTTGATCCCCATGCCTTACAGTTATTTTTTGTTATTTTTCAAACTAACGCGCAAGTTTTATTATATTAATCAATGCATATTTCTCAAACACAAACAGGCGCTTGTCCTAGTGGCAAGCAGTGTAGTTTGTGAAGCCAGGGGGCATGGGTTCAACATCCACCCCATGTGTCGTACCCCAAATTTACCCTACCTTCATGATTAAATTTAAGTTTATCACTGGCTGATTCTCGAAGTTAAAAATTAAAGAAAAATGTTTCAACTGAAAATGGACCATCAATATCTGATGGTCAATTTATAGGCATTCAAATCAACAAAGGGGTGTATCCTAACTCTAGGGAGTGAGGTTTTCTAAATCAGAAAGACCCATTTGTTCATAGGCCCATTCGCGAGGCATGTTGGCCAATGGCCCATGAGATTCTAAGAAGGAAGCCCATTTTTTAGGTAAAGGGTGAGATTTTGATCATATGAGTAAGAAAGCCTATTAAGGTTTTGTTTTGTTGTTTTAGTAATAAAGGGGTGGGGGGGGGGCACAATTTCAAATTACAGGCCCATTAAGGTTTTTCTTTAGCAGGCCCGTTTTGGTTTTTTCTGAGTTGTTGAATAGTAGAGAGAGGGAGGTGTATTTTTTTTAGCCCATAACAATTCGTTTGGAAGGTCCAGACAATGGATGCAATCTGGGCCCATTTGGCATTTTGAGAAGAATTATTTTATTGCTATTGTTACAACTATTTTATTAAGTATTTTTCATAAATTACTTATTAAAAGATTTTTAAATGTGAATATTGTGTTTGAAAAAGATAGTTGTTGGGTCAGAGGAGAGGGTCCGTTTTAGGCCTAGTCCGTGTCAGGAGAAAAAAATGTTGTTGCAAAAACAGAGTTTGGTACTGGGAAGTGCAAGGCCCAAATTTAGTAAAATACCGGCAAGAAATAACGTACAATGCAAGCCCAAGATGAAAAACAGACACTGCAAATCAGGCCAAGGAATACACATATTTTCATTGAATAAACAGATACTGTACAAATCTAAACTAAATCAAATTTTGTAAACCTCAGAACAGAATCAATTATTCAATTCAAATATCTATTTTCTATTACAATTCGATCAAAATTACAAATCAATAAAATAAAATCTCGGTTTTACTAACATCAATCAGTACATTACAGAAAGAATCATAATCAAAGTAATTACAAGCAAATTAAATCTCTAAGCCCTAATCTAAAATTGTAACGATGTTCCCTAAATTACAAAACCATGGCCTTATAAATATCTAAAACCGAATACAGAAAAAGGGGAGGAGGAAATTTCTGGATAGAAAGAAGAACTAAGATGTATACCAATTATTGAAGAGAGGAGAAAACGGTTAGGGTTTCAATATTCGAAACCCTAATCGCGCCGCCACTGATAGCTTCCAAAAACACCGCCGAGCCGTCGTCACTCTACCTTTGAAGATCATCGCGTTGCTGCAAATTAAAAGAGAGAAAGGAATCATAAAATAGAAGTGCATTGTATCATAATGATCGAGACCGAAGGTAAATAAGACTCAGCTATTGTGTGTTTTGTTTTCATTATTACTGGATTATTGGGTTTGAATTTACAGTAGGGAAGGGGTAGAGTTTGAGCGCCACAACGGTTGTTGTTTTAGGGTTAGAAAAAAGAGGGTTAAGGGTCAAAGGAATGAGGGAAGAAGAACGATGAAATAGATGGAAATGAATAAAAATGAAATATATATGTTAAAAAAAAACTTATGTTTTGTTTTCATCATGCACACGCGCGTATACAGTAACATCATGCACCCTCAAATTATATCCACGTGATTGGTATCAGACGGCTGTAAGACCAAGTCCCACCATGATTCCATGAACCCTTGCCCATACAATTACTCAGGCCCCTTTAAAAATCGGTAACGGGCCTAGCCCAATTATTTTCGCACCCTTCCTTGCATGTTATACTAAACCAGTTTGAACACCACACCCTCATACCGCTAGGCCCAGTTCAATATCTGAACTTGGGCCCGGTTCCCTCAATGCACCCATTGTTTTACTCTTTAACTGCAATACACACCCTATGCCAACTGGACCTGAATTTAATATCTAAATTTAGGCCCTCACTATCTACAATCCGACCTTTTTACTTCCTAGTTCAAATTACACCCCCCATGAAAAAATATTTCATTTTCTAAATTTTACTATCTTATTATATTTTCTTATTTCTTTTCTTTATTTTTTTTATAAATTATTACTATTATTTCTATTATTTTTATTTTCTAAATTTCATTATTATTATTATTATTATTATTTAACTTAACTTATTTTTCTTTAAAAAATCATGTATATATTTTATTATTATTGCATTAAATTTTTTAATCATGTAATAATTAAAGTTTTATAGTTAATATAATTAAAAAATACTTAACAAATATTAAACTCTTATTTTTGTAATAAATTAATCTAATAAATAATTTTGCAAAAGGGTTTCAAATATATTTTGACTAATCGCGCGTTCAGTCCAAAATTCTGCTATCTTTACACCCGGTCTAAATGCGAGAAAATTCAAAATATCTTTGAAATCCATAAAAAACACAAACCCGCGAACTACGAAATGAGACTCTGATTCCTCCTAAGAGTATACATAGGCATACGTTTAAAATCGTGGTGAGTCCCCTATAAATAATTAAAACCCTTTTTACCTTAACCTAAACCTAAACCTAGTATCCTTATGAGTAAGGTAGATGAAAGGTGCCTAACACCTTCCTT